TGTGATAGCAGCTATCTTGAGCTCAAGGAAGAGGAAAAGTTCTTCCAGCTATACGATTCAGTGATCCATATCATTGCTGTAAAAGAAGACTAAGCGCAGAGTGCTGAAAAAAAAAAAAAACTTCAACGATAGTCTTCTTTATTCCTAAAAATAAGCTTCTGCCAGGTCAGTCAGCTTTCCACATTCTCTCCCAAGACATTAAGTTCCTGGTACTCTAAGTAAAACAGTCAACTAAGATAAATCTTACAAATTAATGATAAAATGAAAACTTGCTTTGAAACTGGCTCAAACCAATTGGCTTAAGTGTACCCAAGCTGAGAACTAAGTTAAAGCATAGAAATCCTGATTTTCTTTTTTAAATTCTGAATTTAGAATTCAGAAACTAGATATTTTGGTCACTCACAGAAAATTTCCAGCTACAGGAATTTAGCACTGGAAGTCTTTGTACACACAGCCATCGTAGAAGATATTTAAAAGAACAATCTTATACACTTCTCATGTCAGTTTATGGCATACTTCATCTCCTACTATCTCCAAATATGACAGCTTGATTATAATGTAATTATCTTTTGTCATGAAACTAGTACATATTTTAATTTCCAGATGGGTTTATTTTGCTTATATTTAAACTCATTACTGGAAAAGTGCTCATAGAACAAAATATAAATAAATAACCTAAAGACAGACCATCATAAATTTCATCTCAGTGGAGTCTTATAAGGTAAGTCCTGCAGGAATGGCATTCCCTTCTGTCTTACGCCGTGCATATTCCACTGTTTGAAAGATAAATATTTCCATCTTAAGAGGACAGAGGCAGTTTTGAGTCAGAGGAGATGTTTCTAGGGAAATGAAAAAATATGCAAATGCTACCATAAAGAGCATGAGTCTCCCTACAACAGACAAATTGCCCTGAGGGGAAGCCACATTACAGAGGAGACACAGATAAACCAGTGTCAAGGCCCATTGGAAAGCATGCAGCTAAGACTCATATTATGTAAATGAATGGAAAAAATAATCATAGTCGTAACATAAAAGTATTTTTCATGCTAGTGGAGGAAGAGCTTATTTCCTATTTTGCTCTGACAATGCCTGTAGTACATTCAGTCATATTAATTCCTACCATTGCTGATAGTAATAGCATCTGTTTAAATATTAACCACTAAAATAGTCTAGACTTTGATCCATTGAGTGATTTATTTTTTAGGAGTTGTTCCTTTGATTTCTGAGATTCTAAAGTTAGGTGCTTGCCATACTCCTTGTTAATTGCATGATTTCCGGAGTGCTTGATGTGGTCAACTCATTCATTTACCTCTCAATACTCAAGCCACGTGTTAGGTACAAGAATACAAGAAAAAAATGTAGTCAAGGTAATTAGAAGGATGTACATAGGGCACAATAAGATCTCTGGTATTAAAACATCTTCACAATGAAAAATGTTTCATTGTAAGGTGTCTTGAATGAATTCCATGTGGACATCATCTATAAGAAGATAGAAATACCAGGAGAAATATTAGTGTGTTACATGTGTCACTACTGGCCAAATTTAGGGATGGTTTTCTTCTCTGATGTAAACTTAATTTTTGATTTGTATTGCTTTAGATAAACTATGAGAAAGAAATTTTAGATTACCAAGATCATTGGAAACTAGTCTTGAACTGGATAGATAGTACAGAGGTTCAAGTACTTCCCTTGCACGTGGCATACCCAGGTTCAATCCTCAGCACCCCATATTACACCCCACCCTTCACCCCAACACTGCCAGGAGTGACTCTTTAGTGCAGAGTCAAGAATAAGCTCTGAGTATCACCAGGTATGGTTCAAAAAAAAAGAAAGAAAAACTAGTCGAACATTTTTTCAGTTATAAAATAAAGTTTATAATTTAAAAGTGTATGGAAGTATTAATAAATTATTTGCAACAATAAAATTTTCTTCCTATTTGCTATTTCATTAATCCTAAGGGATTTTAGAATTAGCAATATCCTTTTGTTGTTGTTTTGTTGTTTTAAATTTATTTAATTTTTTTTTTACCTATGCACACTAGTCCAACTTTTATTTTATTCTATTTCTTTTTTAGTCTTGATTTCAAACAATTATTTCTTACATTCAAATATTATTGTTTTGGTCCCACTCTTCTACTCAATACATGTTTTCTTCTTTCATATTCTAAAGCAAATATGGAACTCTAAAGTTTACGAGTAGTTCCAGGTTTTTTCTTAAAACCAGAAATGTGTTTCAAAGGGAGGAAGTATATTAACACTCTTGTCATAACTTATCTGAATATAGGTATAATTTACAATGATGATATTCACATGAAAACAATTACCATTTTAGATAGGAAGAATAGTTGCTTTTTCTGTGCCATGCAACACAATACAAAATCACAAGTTTTTAATTTTTTGATAATTACCATAGAAAACTTAAATACTACATGCTATAATCATTACAGTGCTATGGAATGTATATATCTAGTAAAGGTGCAGAGATACTCTTTTTTTATTTTCATAAATTTATTCACAATAATGGATTGCATTCAGTATTTCAACACCAGTCCTACCACCATTACATCTTCCCATTATCATTATTTTGAATTTTCCCACCAACACTCAAACCTGCCGAACAGCAGATGCTAGATAACCTATTTGTATTGACCACTATGAATAGCACAGGATGTAATGTGGCTGCAAGAGTGGCCATGCACTTCTATAATTCTAAAATTTTAGATAATAAGGGTCTGAAGAAATCTCTGCAGTGAGCTGCTCGGTTCCAAGATTCTTTTGTGTCTGCATAGATTTTTTGGTTGGTCTCTCTAAGGTCACAATTTGTTATTCAACTCCACCTAAATTTGGCAAAATAATTAAATTTATTTTTAGATGGTATGTATACCCTATAAAGTTGAAGTCAAGGAAACACACTTTGCATGCAGCCATTTTGGGTTCTATCCCTGGCACCACATATGGGCCTCTGAGAACCTCTAGAAATGATCCCTGAGTATAGACCCAGGAGTAAGCCATGAGCATGCTCAGGTGTGACCAAACAAACAAAAAGTTGAATTTGACAAAAGTCTTTTCAGATAAATACTAATCTTCCGGGCTGCAACACACTGTGTATGATGCCTGTCTATTAAGCTTTGAATTAAAAAATTTAAAAATACATACATATTGAAAGCAGCAAGAGCTTACAAACTTACATACTAAGGAGATCCCATAAGACTAACAGCATATCTATCAAATGAGACTCTATAAGCCAGACGAGAACAGAGAGATATAGTATTAAAAATAAATGCTGGAGTATTTCCATCAAAATAGAATATGTATTATAAATATATAACACCTATATAATATATCATATAGATTATTCAGGTAGTCTATTAATTTCACTGCTACCTCAGTGGTCTCAGAGAAATTCCTTTTCAAACTTTAAATCTAAAACAATAAATCTACAAAATTAGCGAACTCTATTGTTAAAATATAGCTGCCTGAATATTTTATTTCTTTACTTAATTTTTAAAAATTGAATCACCATGAGATACACAGTTACAAAGTTCAAAGCTGTTCATGGTTAAATTTCAGACACACAATGTTCCAAGACCCATTTTTTTCTCTCTCTTTGTCTCTCTCTGTCTCTCTCTCTGTCTCTGTCTCTGTTTGTCTCTCTCTCTCTCCCTCTTTATCTTTTTTGGGCATAATGGTTTACAATACAGGAACTGAGAGTTTATTAGGTTTGTTCCTACCTACTTTCAGCACACAGTTCTTATTCAGAGTGATCATTTCCATCTATCATTATTAAAGTGGTCCCTTCCCCAGCTGCCCTCTCCCCCCGTCCTTGAAACAGGATTCCAAATATGAACCAATACTCCTGGCTTTTGTTTCTACTGTCCTTGGATATTAGTCTCATACTAGGTTTTTTTTATATCCCACAAATGAATTCAATCATTCTATTTTTGTCCCTCTCCTTCTGATTCATTTCACTCATCATGATATCCTTGAATCTTTTTAGCAAAATGACTGTAAAATAATATAAGGTGTACGGATAATTCTTTTCTTGTTGAATGTAAATGGTTTTTAGGATTATGAGACCAAAGTACTTTCAGACGTTCTAACTCTTTTTTTCTGAAGCAGGCACAAGGACCACAAGGATGAGTCATAACAGGAATCAGGTCCCCACTGCACTTTCTTATTTTAAGCTGCACTTAAAAAATATGACATTGAGACGAGTAAAAATCATCTCTTAAATTGAAAATTTTTCTTTTCAAAGTATAATGCATATCAATGAGAAACAAAGTATGATTTTCAAGATTATATGGAAAAAATTTAAAGAGCACTAAAGATAGATAATATTTATGATTCATTTCAGCAAGGTAGAGAAATAGAATCCAATGAAAAATTGAACACTTTGGAAGCCAGGCTATAGGAACTTTCCAGTAATTCCTGATGCCAGGTTATAATCTCTGGCTCAAGATTCCACATCTATCACACTGTCACTTCCACCATTGCAAACCTACAATAAATGCCTGCAATCAGACCTCTCAGACATAGGTACCAAGTAGGCTGCTGCATGAAACTTGTCCTCACTGACTGAACTCTAGGTGCCTTGGAGCTCAGCCACAGACCTGGCCACCTGGACCTGATCTTGATTAGGCCTGCCTTTGTAAACATAGGTCCAGGCCTGTCTCAGTAATCTTTGGTTCCAAGCAGGAACCATAATTATGCATCCATCACTGAAGAAGCTGAATATAAAAATAATTACTAACAGAAAGAAGTATTACAAATCAGTTCCACAATAGGGAATTTCAATTCTACATTATCGCAATACTTAGATCATTCAAAAATCAATACAGAAACAAGAATTAAACAACACTTTAGGCCGTATAACTAATAAAAAAGTACAAAATGTTCAATTCAACAAGAGCAAAATAAACATTCTATTTAAGTCCATACAGAACGCTCACAAAATAGATCATTAGACTTTCCAAAGTTTGGACAGATTTTTAAAAATTTAAGTTATCAGGAGGAGCAAGTCCACATAAGTAACCTAACTTCACAGCTTAAGAGCTGGGAGAATGACCAAAATAAAGGAGCCCAATCCGAACAGGATGAAGGAAATAATAAAACTCAGAGCAGAGATTAACAAGATGGAAGCCCTAAAAACAATCTGAAATATCAATGAAACCAAGAGCTGGTTCTTCGAGAAAATAAACAAGATTGATAAGCATCTAGCAAAACTCACAAAGAAAGGGAGAGAGAAAACCCTAATGAATCGAATCAGAAATGAAAAGGGGGTCATTACAACAGAAACTACAGAAATTCAAAGGATACTCAGGGAGTATTTTGAGAAGCTTTATGCCACGGAACACAAAAACCTCGAAGAAATGGATAAATTTCTAGATTCCTATAGCTTCCCAAGGCTGAACCAAGAAGACCTGGAATACCTGAACAGACCTATCATCATCAAGGAAATTGAAACGGTAATAAAAAGTCTCCCCAAACGCAAAGGTCCTGGCCCTGATGGATTCACTAGTGAATTCTTACAAATCTTTAAAGAGGACTTATTCCCAATCCTCTTTAAGGTTTTCTATGAAATTGAAGTATCAAAAACACTTCCAAACAGTTTCTATGAAGCAAATATCACCCTGATACCAAAAGGAGACAGAGATACTGCAAAGAAAGAGAACTACAGGCCAATATCCCTGATGAAAACAGACACAAAGATCCTCAAAAAACTATTAGCAAATAGAATCCAACAACTCATCAAAAAATCATACACCATGACCAAGTGGAATTCATCCCAGGAATGCAAGGATGATTTAACATTCAGAAATCAATCAACAGAATCCATCATATCAAAAAAAGAAAAGATAAAAACCATATGATCATATCAATCGATGAAGAGAAAGCATTTAACAAGTTCCAGCACCTGTTTATGATGGAAACTCTTGCCAAAGTGGGTATAGAGGGGACTTTCCTCAATATAGTTAAAGCCATCTACCACAAGCCTACAGCAAGCATCATCTTCAATGGGGAAAAACTGAGAGCCTTCCATCTAAGATCAGGGATGAAAAGAGGATGCCCATTCTCTCCACTGCTGTTCGATATAGTACTGGAAGTACCTGCAATAGCAGTTAGGCAAGAAAAAGATATTAAAGGCATCCAGGTAGGAAAGAAAGAAATCAAGCTCTCACTATTTGCAGATGATATGATACTATACTTAGAGAACCCTAAAACCTCTACCAAGAAAGTCCTAGAAACAATAGACTTGTATAGTAAAGTTGTAGGCTATAAAATCAATACCCCAAAGTCCATGGCTTTCCTATATGCAAATAGTGAGAGAAAAGAAAGTGACATGAAGAAAACAATCCCATTCACAATTGTGCCCCAGAAAACCAAGTACCTAGGAATCAGCTTAATAAAGGAAGTAAAGGACCTGTACAAAGAAAACTACAAAATGCTACTTCAGGAAATAAAAGAGGACACTAGAAAATGGAAAGATATCCCCTGATCATGGATTGGGAGAATTAGCATTGTCAAAATGGCAATACTTCCCAAAGCATTGTACAAATTCAATGTGATCCAATAATGATACCCATGACGTTCTTCAAAGAAATGGATCAAACATTCCTGAAATTCATATGGAACAATAAGCCCCCATCAACAGCTAAAGCAATTCTTGGGAAAAACCTCCCTAACTTCAAACTCTACTACAAAACAGTAATAATTAAAACAGCATGATACTGAAAGAAAGGAAGAGCTGCAGACCAGGGTTGAATATAGTTATATTTCCCCCCAAACATATGATCATATAATCTTTGACAAGGGAGCAAGAAATGTGAAGTGGAACAAGGAAAGCCTCTTTAACAAATTGTGCTGGCAAAACTGGACGGCTACATGCAAAAAATTGGGCTCGAATCTCTGCCTAACACCACGTAAAAAAGTAATATCAAAATGGATTAAAGACCTCAACATCAGACTAGAATCCATAAGGTACATTGAAGACAAAGTTGGCAAAAGCCTCCATGACATTGAAGCTAATGACATCTTCAAAGATGTCACGCCACTGGCCAAGCAAGTGAAAACAGAGGTAGACAAGTGGGACTATCTTAAACTAAGAAGTTTCTGCACCTCAAAAGAAACAGTAAAATTTCAAAGACAGTCTACAGAATGGGAAAGGATATTCACCCAATATATATCCGAAAAGGGGTTGATATCAAGGATATACAAATTACTGGTTGAACTCCACAAGAGAAAAACATCCAACCTCATCAAAATAATGGAGTGATGAACAGAAGTTTCTCAAAGAAGAAATCCGAATGGCCAAAAGGCACATGAGAAAATGCTCTACATCATTAATCATCAGGTGTATGCAGATCAAGACAACAATGAGATATCATCTCACACCACATAGACTTTCCCATATCCAAAAGAACAAAGCAACTGGTGTTGGCACGGACGTGGCGAGAAAGGACTCTCCTTCACTGCTGGTGGGAATGCTGACCGGTTCAGCCCTTTTGGAAAACAGTATGGATGATTCACAAAAAATTAGAAATTGAGCTCCTATTTGACCCAGCAATACCACTCCTGGAAATATATCTTGGAGAAGCAAAAAAGTATAGTTGAAGTGACATCTGCACTTGTTTGTTCATTGCAGCACTCTTTACAATAGCCAGAATCTGGAAAAAACATGAATGCCCGAGAACAGATGACTCGTTAAAGAAATTTTGGTACATCTACACAATGGAGTACTATGTAGCTGTTAGAAAAGATGAAGTCATGAAATTTACATACAAGTGGTACTAAGGGAATGTATCATGCTAAGTGAAATGAGTCAGAAAGAGAGGGACAGACATAGAAAGATTGCATTCATCTGGGGAATATAAAGTAACAAAATAAGAGACTAACACCCAAGAATAGCCGAGATAAGTACCAGGATGTTCACTCCATGGCTTGGAGACCAGCAGCTAATAGGCAGCTCAGATGGAGAAGGGAGCACCAAATAAAGGGTGTAGGGAGGATCCTCCCAGTATGGGAGATGCATGCTGAAAATAGTCTATAGACCAAACATGATTGCCACTCATGCCTTTTTTGCAAACCACAGCCCCCAAAGGAGAGAAAGAACAAAAGGGAATGTCCTGCCACAGAGGCAGGGTGGGCTGGGGAGTGATGGGGGGTGGAAGGGATACTGGGATCAGTGGTGGTGGAAAATGGGCACTGGTGGAGGGATGGGTACTCGATCATTGTATAATTGAAACCCAAGATCAAAAATTTGTTAAGTCTACAACTGTACCTCATGGTGTTTCACTAATAAAAATTTTAAAAAATTAAAGTTATCATGTAGCTTTTCTTATCACTACGTCATTAACTAGAAATAATAAACAGAAAAATTTTAATGTGTATAAAGTAACACACTCCTACACAAATGTGTCAAAAAGAAATTAAAATGAAAACATACTAAGGTAAATGCAACACTAAGAATTATGTTAATAGGAACAATGCCTAATTTAATAGGACCTCAAATAATCAACTAAATTATATGAATTAGAAAAATTAGAAAATGAAACACAGATTTGTAATTTTATATGAAATGTGTCTTGGAATTTTCCTACTTAGGTCTGTTTTCACTGGGATCCAATTAGGAAAATTCCAAGACACTTTATACTAAAAATGACAAATTTCAAAGATAAAGACAGAATATTGAAAGCAGCAAGAGCTAAAACAAATTATATACAAAGTAGATCCCGTAAGATTCATAGCATATCTTTCAAATAAGACTCTATAAGCCAGAAGAGAACAGGGAGATATAGTGCAAAAACAACAAAATGAACATCCCGCCATGAATGTTTACTCAGCTAGATTATCATTCAGATCTGAAAGAACAACACAAAGCTTCAGGGACAACTTACGGAATTTATAGCCTTGAAACCAGATTTACAAGTGTTAAAGGAGCTACTTTAAAGGATCAAATAAATCTTCCAACATGTGAGTATGGTACCCACTCATGGTACTTATGGTTGCCCCCTTCTAGACTAAAGAAGGTATATTTAATCCTAGCTTGCTAATGGACTTTATACAATTTCAATAATGAATCAGTGTCTCAATTATATTGATTGTTCTATGTCTTATCAGTATTTTTTCATTCATAGTTTTTATTGCAATTTCTTACCTACATTAACTAATATTTAAGCAGTAGCTATTACATAATATTTTAATATGAAATTGCTATTCTTTCTTTGAAAAACAACTTTTGTACTTTTCTAGGCATATTCAGGTATTCCCTTTAAATTTTCTTCGTTCTCTTTACTCTTGCTGATTTTTACAGTTGTAAGCTTCACCTATTTCATGTAAATTCCAAAATATATAATAGCAAAGAATTTTAAATAATAACTTTTTTCTTTCCAATTTATTTTAAACAACATGCTTTACAAAGTTATTGAAAATAATTTGTTATAGGCATTTAGTATTCCAACACCCATCTCTTCACCACTGTCACCTTTGTCTCTATTTTTCCAACACCCTTCAAGTCTTTCCCCACAGCAGCCTACAGTAATTTATTTCCTAATGCCTGTTACCATTAAATGGCTAAGGAAATTATCAAAAACCATTTCCATAGAAGAAAAATTGTGAAAATTGTTATATCTCACGAAGGGGACATTAAGCCCTTGTCTGAGAGATTACTAAAACTGTTCTTGCAAGTTAAGCCTTCCGTGTTAAATGTTTCCCTTCACAAGATTGATTGCCTTGAGTGTTACATTCCCATTCAATCTGGTGTGCTACTATGGGATGTAAGCACTGCAGAGTTTGGAGATGTTCTTTAGAGAATCCAGAATATTTAACCAGGCAGTCCAGCTAGAGGCATGGTGGTGGTTTTGGCACGTGGAATCGCCTGTGGGACTTTGGGTTCCATCTGACCTGCCCCCACACCTGCCCTCCCCCAGATCACCTTGAACATCTCAGCTGGAATGAATGTCTGAGAAATGTTTGTGCCTAGTTGATCTATTTCAAGATTTATAAAATATTAGTTTTATTAACTACAGAGAAGACACAACTATCACCAAAATGAGACCCAAATACGAACTAGAAGTTAATGCAATATATCTTAGATACCAGAGTTCAAAGCTTATTTATATAAAGAGAATAGGCATTATATTGTGTTGCATTAAATGACTTTAACATTTTATTTACATATGTTAAATTTGTAAGAATCACACATCACAAAAAGACTTTTAACTGACTTATTTTGTGATAATCTTAAAACTTCTAAATTTTCTTAGAGCAAGCTAAATGTACCAGCTAAGGGCACAGGTCACATTGTCAATTGGGATTGGTGTTGGAACATTGTATTCCTGAAATAACTCTTATACATCACAGTTTTTTAATAAACATAACTATTTAAAAATTAATGAATCATACATATGATGGATAACTGCATTCATTTCTGGGATTCAGGACTACTACAACATATGTAAATCAACAATGTGAAATACCATATTGACAAAATGGAGGAAAACTTATGAATTTATTTTAATAGATAAGAGAAAAATTAGTATCTGATCATAATAAAAATGTGAATAAATTGGGCATAGAAAGAATATACCATGGATGGAGTAATAGTAAAGGGCATTTACCTTGCACACAGCTGACCTGGGTTCAATCCCCAGCATCCCATATGGTCCTCTGAGCACTGTCAGAAGTAACTCTTGAGTACAGAGCTAAGAGTAACGTCTGAGCATTGCTGGATGTGACCCAAAAAAGGGAAAAAAAGAAAAAAGAAATGAAAGAAAGTGAATATACCTCAACACAACAGAAATTATTTATCAGCATCCCACACCTAGCATTACACTGGTAAAGAGCTGGAAGTTTTTCGTTTAAGATCCACAAAATCATTTTGTTACTATTATTAGCAAATACATTCAACATAGTACTATAAGTCTAGTCAGAACAATTAGAAAAGATAAAAATTAAATTCAAACAGAAAAGGATGCAATAAATTCTTTTCTATTGACAGATGGCATGGTCTATTAAAAATAACCTAGTGTGTTAGAATAATTCTTTTAAAAGTTGGAAGTTTATGAATATGAAATCAAAATGCAAAACTCAGTGTGATACTACTTACAACAAATTACTAGAAAGAGGAATTGTGAGAGCAATCTCATTTACTATCACATCAAGAAGAGTAAAATATTTAGAAGTAAATTTTACCAAGGAGATGAAAGTCTATATAGTGTGAAAACACTGACGAAAAACATTGAGACATAAAATGAAAAGGTAATTACAAACACAAAGTGAAGTGTAATTTGTGCCCTGAGTTAGAAGAATTCGTGTTGCAAAAAATTCTTTCCTAGAAAAACTGATAGAAAGATGCAGTCAAAATGCCAAATATTTTTTAAAATAATTATAAAATTCACACATAAGACAAAACGACAAAAGAACACCAAATAGTCAAAATATATTTACTAACAACAAAAGGCAAAGCTGGAGGCATCACATTTCCTGATTTCCAATTGCAATGTAATTCTATCAAATCGATTTGCTTTCGGGAGCGATAGCACAGCGGTAGGGCGTTTGCCTTGCACGCAGCCAACATGGCCGACCCAAGTTCGATTCCTCCGCCCCTCTCGGAGAGCCCGGCAAGCTACCGAGAGTATTCGATATGCCAGACACAGTAACAACAAAATCTCCAATGGAGACGTTACTGGGCCCGCTCGAGCAAATCGATGATCAACGGGAGGGCCTTTACTTTACTCGAGCAAATCCATCAAATCAAAGCAGTATAGTACTATCTTAGACAGAGATGCACATAATAATGGAGCAGACTAGAGTCCAGAAATACATTCACATACATCTACACAATGGAATATTATGCAGCTGTTAGGAAAAATGAAGTCATGAAATTTTCTTATAAATGAGTGGACATGTAGACTATTATGCTGAGTGAAATGAGTCACAAGGTGAGGGACAGATACAGACTGACTGCAACTCATTTGTGGGATATAAAAATAAAATAGTATGAGACTAATATTCCTAATATTCAAGGCCAGAAAGACAGGGGCCAGGAGTACAAAATTAATGGTTTGATGCTTGCCACAAATATGGGGAGGGAAAAGGGTAGTTAGGGTAAAGAAGGAATTGATATGAATAATAATAGTTATATATTATCTCTCTGGACAAGAACTGAGTGTTGAAAGTAGGAAAAGAGATATACGTGATAACCTTTCAGTATCTGTGTTGCAAACTACAATGCCATAATGGAGAGAGAAAGAGGGGGAGGGAGAGAGAGATAGAGAGAGAAGGAGGAGAAGGAGGAGGAGGGGGTGAAGGAGGAGAAGGAGAAGAAAGAAGAAAGGAGAAGAAGAAAAAAGGAGATGGGAAAGAGAAGAAGGTGAAGGAGAGGGAGAGGAGAGGAAGGGGAGGAATGTGGGGAGGAGAGGGGAAGAGAAGGAGAAGGAGAAGAAGAAGAAGAAGAAGAAGAAGAAGAAGAAGAAGAAGAAGAAGAAGAAGAAGAAGAAGAAGAAGAAGAAGAAGAAGAAGAAGAAGAGGAGGAGGAGGAGGAGGAGGAAGAGGAGGAGGAGGAGGAGGAGGAGGAGGAGGAGGAGGAGGAGGAAGCAGCAGCAAATGTTCATTGACAAAGGATGGGTGTTGGAGCATTACATGACTGAAACCCAATCATGAACAATCTTGTAACTGTGTATGTAAATGTTTTTCAATTAAAAAAATTTTAATATAGTTGACTTGAAGGGCTAGAGCGATAGCACAGCAGATAGGGTGTTTGCCTTGCATGCGGCCGACCTGGTTGACCCGAGTTCAATTCCTCTGCCCCTCTCAGAGAGCCTGGCAAGCTACTGAGAGTATCGCGCCCACATGGCAAAGCCTGGCAAAGTACCCATGACGTATTCGATGTGCCAAACACAGTAAAAACAAGTCTCACAATGTTACTGAGCCCGCTCCAGCAAATTGATGAACAATGGGAGGACAGTGACAGTTGATTTGAACTTTGAAAAGCACAGAATAATACAAAATGAGCAATATATAATTTCTTCAATAGAGTTATGACTAAAAGGTAAAGGCCCTCCCGTTGTTCGTCGATTTGCTTGAGCGGGACCAGTAACGTCTCCATTGGAGACTTTGTTCTTACTGTGTTTGGCATATCGAATACCTCACGGGGAGCTTGCCAGGCTCTACCGTGTGGGCGAGATACTCTCGGTAGCTTGCCGGGCTCTCTGAGAGGGGCAGAGGAATTGAACTCGGGTCAGCCATGTTGCCTGCGTGCAAGGCAAACGCCCTACTGCTGACAGCACTCGGTATTCCCAGGCGGTCTCCCATCCAAATACTAACCAGGCCCGACCCTGCTTAGCTTACGACATCAGACGAGATCTGGCGCGTTCAGGGTGGGATAGCACAGGTAGGGCGTTTGCACGCAGCCAACGTGGACAACCCGAGTTCGATTCCTCCGCCCCTCTCGGAGAGCCCGGCAAGCTACCGAGAGTATCTCGCCCGCACAGCAGAGCCTGGCAAGCTCCCCGTGACGTATTCGATATGCCAGACACAGTAACAACAAAGTCTCTGATGGAGACGTTACTGGGCCCGCTCAAGCAAATCGACAATCAACGGGAGGGCCTTTACCTTTACCTTTTAGAGTTATGACAACTGAAGATCAACCAAAGTAATGGAATTGGATTCACATCATTCAAAACATAGGCTAAAAGTAAACTAGAGAAGTAAACATAAGAAAATGAAGTCATGAAAGAAAATTTTAAGGGCTGGAGCAATGTCACAGCGGGTAGGACATTTGCCTTGCACGCAACCAACGTGGGTTCGATTCCCAGCATACCATATGGTCCCCTGAGCACTGCCAGGGATAATTCCTGAGTACAGAGCCAGGAGTACCCCCTGTGCATTGCCAAATGTGACCTAAACAGCAAAAAAAAAATTTTTTTCAAGACATATTAAAAAAGAATAAAACTTAAAGAAAAGCTTTATGTCACTCACTGACTTTGTCAATATTTCTTATACAATCAACAAAGAAAAAATGTATAAATAAAAATATGGGATCAGATTAACCAAAAAATCTTCTGCTCAGCAATGTAAAAAAAAATCAAGAAAATTCAGAACACAATATAGAATGAGAGAAAACATTTGCCAAAAAATGCATTGGTAAAAGGTTGGCATTTAAAATATCTGGCAAATTTATGAAATTTAAATAGTAAAAAGAAAATTTACATGATTAAAAAGTAGGCAAATGCCAATACCCAGCTGATAAAGCGTTGATATCAAGGATATACAAGGCACTGGTTGAGCTCTACAAGAAGAAAACAACCCCATCAGAAAATGGGGTGATGAAATGAACA